AGATAGGACAGAAAGTGACTTCTATACTTTTAAAATTTATGCAAAACTTAGGAGGTCTTTAGACTGAGCCAACTATAGTAATAATAGAAGTATGGGGTATTATCCAGTGTTAGAAATTGAGTGCGGGGTTTGTGTTACATATTGAATTTAGCCAATCAAATTTGTTCAATATGTAACACAAACCCCTCCAACACTGGTATTATCTGTTGCAGATTAAATGTTGCAAAACCCAAATGGTGTAAAGAAGAGGAGTATATCAAAATACAAAAGACTGTAAAACGACATAGCATTATCGATCATCTAGAGTTTGTTACAAAATTACTTAAAATGTACTATTTGTTATTTTAATGTTGTTATGCGGTTGGCATTCTTGAATAAAACCATCAATTATCTTGTTTCCAGATGTCCAAGTACTGAAAAGGCTCTGTAAGTGTAGACTAATGCACTTTTCACAATATTTATCAGAGTATCTTGTTGTTTTACAATTATTGTCTCTTGGTTCACCATATCTATTAATTGCATTATCTAATTCAAAGGAATAAATAACCCTTCCTCTACAATATTCCTTTTCATTTTCTAAGTTTCTTTGATTAATTGCAAAAAGTAACTTTTTCTATTTTCTCTGTCAGGAGCAGTTGGGGAAGCAGAACAAGCAACATCATTCATTTCATTACAAATTTTAGCTACTAATTTTCTTCTATCTCGTGTTATAATTTAGTGAAGGACATTTTATTAAAATAAGTGCTTACAAAACAAGTTTTGTACACATGTATGGTATATTTATTTTACGAAATTTAATATTGCAAGAGGTTTTAAATGCCCATCTACACACATCCATTCAATATCATTTAAGATAGCTTTGATAAATGCTTTTTGACTCAAATCTTCTTGCAGAGGGATCAAGTGTCCAAATGTAGTGATATATGAGACCATTTAGATAGGACACGATAGATTTAAATGCCAATTACAGTTTGTTCTTTGTGATTTAAATGGTTTTGATTCCGCATCTTTTTTTATTGGTACCATCACAAATACAAACAAGAATTTGTTTTCTTTCAAGTTTTTCTGATCTAAATCCTTGTTGTTGTGCTCATTGTTTAATATGCTTAATACTAATTTTCCAAGCTGGCAATGCATACTAGAATCCAATTTTATGTTAGCTTCAACATCGGCTCTTACTCCTCCTCTCTCCCCAGTAACATTGGGAATGTTCTATAAAAACTTGATGGTTGGTATAAATTCATTCATAATTAATATTAGTACATTATAGTTTTTAATGGCTGAAATTATTAGTTTATTTTTTTTTTTTTTGCATATTAAAAATCTTGTGCATAGAATGCATTTGTGTGCATGGCACAAAAAAAAATAAAAAATATACAACATAAATTATAATATATAAAAATAGATCACGAATATTTCTCTTGTGAGAATTAATTAGTTATCTGCTGTCTCTAGTACCAGCAAGGGTCAATTCACGTGCGATTGCATTTCTTTTAACCGATGCTATCCAACCACTCAAATCAGCATTTATTCTTCTACCAATTGTAGCAAGTGCAGTTTGTAAATTGACAGCAACTTCTTGGTATTTTTGATTGGTTGCTTGACTAGATGATACTCTGAGTGCTATCAAGAATGCTCTTCTTAATGTTTCTCCTACTTGAAGTAAAGTCAGAGCATCACTTCTAATAGCTGGATTTCTTTCCAAGTTAAACACATCAACAAGTACATCATAGATAAATCCACTGAATACCTATTAAAGATAGTTTTTTAAAAAAATTAATAATCATCATAGATACATATGTGTATATATATATATATATATTAATTAATTAATTAATTATTATTTATTACCAAAGACATTGCATGTACTTCACTCCCAACTGTCGAACCTTTTACATCATTTATTAAGTTTCTTAAACCTTTACCCTTATTCTTGTACAAGTAATCGCCAAATTCTTCACCAATAGCTGACAAGAAATTATCAGTGTCTCTAAGATTTGATTTTGTAAAAGTGATCAGATTATCTACCAAATCTGGCATCGAAAGAGTGACAAACATTGAACACAAATCACCAAACGCTTCATGAAGAGCTCCGGTCTGACCATCAGACAACCAGCCTTGTTGTATTGTATCAAGGAAAAGGTGACCTGTCTCATGAGCTACAATATCAAGTGATCGACAAAGATATATTGGAGTTTGTCCTGGTCTTGGTTCATAAAGAAATCTCAATACTCCCTCCTCCCTGGATGGAATGGGATTGGAATCGACTCCAGAGTGTGGATGTATTACTAATTTTTTGTTTCCCCATGGTCTATGAAGCGTTGGTGGTTTGCCATCAAGATACTCGAGATCGCCTGTGAATAAACCAAAAGTGTATTTGACAACAGCGAAAGTGTGCATAACATCAAATTTGACTTGTTTGGCTGATGGTGGTGGAGTTTGAGAGTTGTCTTCAATAAAATTCAGTAGGAAATCACCATTTGCATCAGGAGCAATTGGTCCAGAAGTTGAACTGGTGATGAGCAGTGAGTCGGTTGGGCCGGTGGTGATATCAGATCCAGGAAAGTAAAGCGATCTGATACCGATTGATTTAACGAAAGGATCGGCTTTCCATATATTTATTCTTGAACCTTTACCAGCTGGTGGAGCTGCTGAGACTAATGCTGTTTGAGGTAATCTTGATGCTAAATATTGTGCTCTCCTACATTATTACATAATACAGAAATATGTGTGTGGTTAGGAAGAGAATATGACAATTAAACAATCCACTAATTGTAATGTTAATTAGATGAATGAATTAATTATAGTTAATTACCTTGGATAAATGTTTTGATCATAATCAAATAATGCGTAGACCAATTTTTTTGGATCTTTTAAATCATAATTTACAGTAGCAGATCCATTCTTTAATGGATCAATTTGAAGGTATTTTCCGTTATTACCAATGATAACAGATTTCTCAATAAAATCTATCAAAATAATTATAATAATTATTGTTAAAATAACAACAATAATAATATTTAACATAATCAATCATTAGTCACACAAAAACATATATTACCAGGATGAGGAACAAACATAAACAATTGTTCGGATTTAGGAGCAACTCCTTCATGAGTTGTTTCTCCATTTGTAAATGATAAATCACCATGTTGATCGTTGGTGAGTGTTAAAAATTGACCTGATGAATTCTTCCATGCGACTAATGGTAAAGTAACTGATGGGGAAAGAGAGAAAGAAAATTAATATTGTTTTTAATAATGATAATAAAAAATATTTTATATTATCAAATATATATATATATATATATATATACCTAATCTTAAATCTTTAAGGAGTGAAGGATATTCGATATTCAAATTATCTCTTGTATAACCAATAGAATAATTATAAGTCAATGGATCCTCGACAAGCAATACAGCTGAATGATCCCAACTATTTTGTGCACTATAAATCAAATTACGATAGAAATATGCGCAGATTAATTATATCATATAGATAACATCATATAAAATTTACATACATTTTACCAGAACGAATTTCATTTCCATCATAAACTCCAAGGCGAACTTTATATTTTTTATTGTACAATGAATAATATTTACCATGGTTTTCTAATAATAAAGTTCACGTGATTAAATATATTATGATCACATGATTTGAACAAATATAAAAAAATAAATAAATAAATACCGATTCTCCATTGTTGAGCAGGATTACTAAGATCGTAAAGATCTTTGACGACTGAGCCATCGGCTTTCATTGTTAGAGCACGTTTATTTTGATCGATGAATCCGAAATAACGATAGACTGAACTAGTTGGTGCTGCAGAGACATTTCCGGCTACAATGAATTGAGGGCTGTTGGCTGACGTATTGATTCCGAAATTGAGTTTATTTTGATTCAGAACCCAAGAAGTATTTGCTAATAAATTTTTTTGGATTAAAAAAAAATAACACTAATATTAACATGCATACACACGCACATTCTACGCATTAACATATAATCACCAAATTTTCCAGTTAGTTCGGGTTCGAAATTACTTAAAGCAGGGTCGTAAGGTCGTTTTGATTGAGCCAAAGAGCTGACATCACTTCCGATTCTTTTTATCTCTTTGCCTTGATCAAAAGCATTTTCTCTTGACCAGTCAGCCAATTGATCATAGAAATCGGAGATGTAAATTGGGAAATTGATACTCAAATCCTTTATGACATTTTGCGGAAGAATACCAGGTGACCAGGTACCAGTTGCAACTCTGGAAATCAATTGGGCAATTTTATCACCGGTATCTACTAATTGATCATGATGAACTTTTAAATTTGTGACTAAATCATTGGTGATATCACTGGAAAGTTGTTTCTCCCAATCTTCGGATGCTCGGAATAATACTTGATCCCGGTGGGATTCTTGAACGCGGAGAACTAAACTTTCGACATGAAATTTATCAAAATCTTTGGTGATATAATGATTTGCGTGAGTTGGCATCATAAAAAGTTCTGATTAGAATTAAAACTATAATTAGAATAATAATTATTATTATTAGGATTGATCAATTACTAATATGGTAATTTTAATAATACAAATTTTCAAAGTTTTTGATGAAGAGGCGAAACAATATCGTTTATATAATAACATTTTTCAATAGCCACGTCATAATTAATTGATAATAAACACAATCCTCGCAAGAATTGAACCTGTAATTTTTGTGTAAAGCGCAGAATTTAGAATTTATTTGTTGTTATTAATTAATCAGGAAAATTCAGGACTTAAATGGTAATTTATTGCAAGTTTTGCATTTGTTTGTTTCGAGTTCCCTTACTAAATAAATAGTAATAATTTTTGTAACGAGTTTCTGATTAAAATGGTAATTCAAACTCAACCAAATATTATTTTATTTGTTTGTTTTTCTTTTTTCGTGTAAAATTAATTAATTCTTTTTAATAAATAGATATTCCAGCAAGGACAAGACATCAAAAATGGGCTCAACACTTAAATTTAGTTCTTTGGTTGGCCGCTATCACCGCGCCGTGTTATTGAATTAGGGAAAGAAATAATGAACATTATTCATCCCTTAAAGGTATTATATACCTGAGATATAGTCACAGACAATTATAATTGAGGTCATCTATCTATCTATGACTAATCTTTACTTTATATATCCTGTGTCAGGGTAGAAATGACGAAAACCCAAAATTTGGCCCTGTTACATTAAATGGCTATATCTCAAGTTCTAATCGATGCAACTATAAGATCTTGGTGGTGTCAAAGGTTCTTCCATTTAAAAGCTTGCTTTTTTTTACTATGTGTGATAAATCATGTGTTAGATACTGTGTAAAGCTTTACAACATGTTAACAATTATAATCACTATGCAAAGTGGGTATGGTTTCTAATCCAAAAATGTCCCATCTAAAGAGTTGCATATAAGAGTTGTGTTAACTCGAAATCATGATTTTCAACGTTGTATAGAAAAGACACCTTTTCGTAATGACTTAAGGTCATAAATTTTCAATTACTGGCAATAATAATAAGCAACCAATTTTTAACATGTTTTCCCTTCTTTTTGACAAGTTGTTTGCTTTATTCACGGAGAGTTTTATTATAAAATAGGATCGTTCATATTCTCGGGAGTACACGGCAGAATACAACATAAACAAATAACAAGTATCTGGCAACATTCTCTAAAAAAATATTCCTTGGTTGGTTGTGACGAATCATCCTTTTTCATAAAATATTTATGTGAAAAATTTGAATCCAAAGATTCTGTATTATTATTATTATTATTATTATAGACAGCAATATGATTGACCTACAGATCCAAAAAAGGAAGCTAATTGTTATTAAAAATGGACATTATTCAAAGGCATTAAATCAAGCGAGGAAATAAATATCTGCAATAAAATATGACCGTGCATGAACCGTCTCGATGAATTTTGCCTATCCCTAAATCGCTTGAGAGAAAAGAGAATGGAGCATTCCTTTTGGTCCAGGAGTGAGAGCTGTTAGACCCCTGTGGTGAATTTACTGAATGGGCACATAGGTAGACTATTACATACAGAATTCAAAGCAAATGGGTCCTGTTCAAATAAGCGTAAAGAATAAGCTCTGTCGACGCATACTTCGGATATACAAAGAAATTCTTGACTGATGTCATTGAAAATTGGCAAGAATGTATATGCGAAAACCATCATTATAGACAAATGTTGACCTGGCCACATTACCAATTTAAACAAATATTTGCTCTATAAATATATATTACGAAAACAGAACCTTCCCTTGTTTGTAAACAATTTATTTTGTACAATAAAAAAAATGTGGCACATATTACTAAATTTGATATTCATAGACGATACAAGGTTACAAATCTTTTCTTTTTTAAATAAAAAAATGAAAGCGATAAAAAATCTTCATTTAGACAACATTACAAATGACCTTCGACGCAATCTTAGTTCAGTAAATACTAGAGGTTTATATTATTCCATTTTGGCAAATTTTGTTTGTTTTATATAATATTATTTAATTCATTATATTATATTGTATAAAGCAAACAGCGATACCAAACATTTAAATAAATTATTGACATCGGAGAGAGGAGTATGGAATGCATTAAGTACTTTAACTTTGGAACAAAATGAAGCAGCAAAGTATTTAAATATTTGGGGAAGAAGCGAAGATGTTGATTTGGCTGATGTAACAGATAAAGTTGCTACTTTATTAGTAAAAATATCAGAAGCCGAAGGAATTTTAGGTATTGTTAAATAAAAATTATTTGGGAATTATAATAATTATAATTTTATCATAACCATAATTATATTTATAAAATCGCAGCTAATAAACTTGCACAATATCGTGCACAATTGAAAGAAATACGTACCAGAGAAGATAGAATGAAGGAGCAACGTAGTAAAAAAGAAGCATTATGGAATAAAATTGAAAGAGAAGAACGTAAACCAAAAAGATCAGATCTCGCCGAACAAAAATTAAGCGAATTACATTCTGAGTTGAGTAGAGCTGAATCAGAAAGTCTTGAAGGTAAAAAAAAAAAAAAAAAATTGATAAAAAAATTATTTTTATTTTTAGCAAGTGAAAAAGTAGTTAATAAATTAAATTAATATTTCGGGGTGATGTTTTTATAGAGGAAACAGCTTTGGCAGACTTTAAGAGACAAAGACTGAGAGATGCTTTAACATTACAATTGGAATCATTTTATGAATTTGGAGAAAAATTAATAATGATTACAGGATTTTGCAAAGAAATTGTTGATCAAATTCCTATGGAAACTACTACACCTGGTGAACCGAGAGCTCCTTATTATGGTATTAATATATATATATATATATGTATTATTTTTTTTTGGAAGTTGAGAGGAGAGATTAATTAAAAAAAAATTTTTTTATTATTATTTCTTTCTTTTTTTTAAAAAAAAAAGGAAAAGATAAAACAACAACATCATTTTCAAATTGTATTTCATCTCTTTCTTCATGGACACCACCACAAGAACTTTATCCAATAGTTCCACAAAGAACACACGCCGGTGGCACTTTACAATTAGAATATAGGCAACAACCTCAAATTGATAATAATATCAATAATAATTTTAGTAATTTAAATAATCTGCAACCACAAAATACATCGTATCAAACTGTACCAACCACCACCACATCACCATCTGCTCCAGTTTTTCCACCTCAATATGCAGAGTCAACAACAAATCATGAGATTAGTTATAATAATAATAATAATAATTATAATAATAATAACAACAACAACAATTTTGGCAATTCAAATAATTTACAACCGCAAAATGTACCACCATATCAAGCTGTACCAAATACTACTGCTGCTAATGCATCGCCAATTTTTAAACCTCAATATTCAGAGTCAACAACAAATCATGAAGCTAATTATGATGACAAACGTTTACCCATTACTCCCCAAAATTTATCACAAGACTTGTCTCAACAAAATATGGCTACCAAACTATTGCCTCAACAGCAAATTTATCAACCAACTCAAGAATCAGCTCAGCAACAAATACCTCAACAAGTGCCCCAACAAGTACCTCAACAAACGGCTCAACAAGTACCTCAACAAGTACCCCAACAATTGCTTCAACAAACGGCTCAACAATATGATGGGTCAAGATTATATACTCCTCCTCCTTCTTCTATGCAACAGTCACCACATCAACATGATAGGTCACAATTATATTCTACTCCTCCTTATTCTATGCAACAGTCACCACATCAACGTGATGGGTCACAATTAGATTCTACTCCTCCTTCTTCTTCTAAACAACAATCACCGCCTCAACAACAACAACAACAACAACAACAACAACAACAACAACAACAACTACAACAACAAATAACTCAAGAGCAACAACAGCAACAACAACTACAACAACAATTACAACAACAACAACAACAACAACAACAACAACAACAACAACAACAACAACAACAACAAATAACTCAAGAGCAACAACAGCAACAACCATTATATCCCTCACCTTTAACTATATCAGAAAATAATGAACTTTCATTGCCCTCATCATCCTTAATCAATAATAACAACAACAACCTTATTGCTAAAAAGTACTTTGAAGATCCAAATGAAGCTGATCATAGCGATTTGGAACAACCAACAGATGCAGAAAGTGATAAATTGAATATTGTTGATAACCAAACCGATGATGATAACTATGAAAAAAATTCAAGATTTAAAGAAATAACAAATACCAATAATATTGATGGTACTAATTATAATAATGATGTTAACAATAATGATGTTAATGTTGGTAGAGAATCAACCTCGCCGTCTGTTAGTGATTATTCATCGTCTGATGATAATAGGGACAGTGCTGATAAACTACAACAAACCAATGCCACACAATCTGTTGTACCAACAAATTCGGCCGCAACAACACCACAACTAGAACAACCACAATATCAACCACAATATCAACCACCGCCACAACAATATCAGCTGCAACCACAATACCAACCACAACCAGAACAACAACAACCACAATATCAACAACTGCCACCACATCTACAGCAACTGCAACACCTACAAGAAATGCCACCGCAACAGCAGCAACTACAACAACTGCCACCGCATCTACAACAGCAGCAGCAACAACAACTTCCACCACCACAACAACAAACACAAACACAAGGTGATAATGTACAGCAACGAACACAACAACTAACACACGGATTAATGAATCAATTAACACCGGATCAAATGCAAATGCTAGTGCAGCAATTAGCACAACAAATAATTCAACAACAAACATCGCAACAACAACAAATATCGCAACAACAACAAATATCGCAGCAACAACAAGCATCGCAGCAACAACAAACACCAAATCCAATTGAATATTCAAATATTGGTGGCATTAATCAATCTAAAAATGTCAATATGGTTTTGGAAGCACTGAGACAAATGAATCCATCATCACCTGCATCATCACCTACACAACAACCATCTGCATTCATAAATGATAATTCAACACCATCATCGGCAGCAACTACTGCTGCCAATGTTGCTCCTGCCTCTAGCATTACTACCAATACTGTATCGTCATTACCAATAAAGGATGATGGTCATTATGGTGATAATGTCAATCTTCTTCCAATACCAGGAAGCAATGGATCTGCAAAACATGTTACTTTTAGTGATGTTGAAAATGAAATTCCGTAATTAATTAAAATATTTTAATTATATTTAATTATTTAATTATCATAACATTTATTATTATTATTTATTTGTCATGTACAAAAAATATTGTATACGAGGATATATAGATAAACATTATATAAAAACATAAAATATAAAATTCAATTTTGATTTTGATTTTTTGAGAATAATGTTTTTTTTTATTATAGTTAATTAAATAAAGAGTCTTGTGACGTTACAAATATTTTATACAAAATAAAGCAACTTTATTACTAGAAAATACATTGTATCCAATAATTCAATATTAATCTTGCTTGTTTTAATATTATTTGTTTAATATTATTTAATATAATTCTTATTCCGCCAAAGTACAGTCATCTGACCTTTTGATGGCGAACTTAACTGTTTATATGCTAACACTAGTGCGAAACGAAGTAATAGCCGTTGTCAATGGAATTGATTTTATTGCCATCATCAGTAATTCCTCCACCAATTAAATGTATAATAAGTATTAAATTTTCTAAAAGAATATCAATTAAAATATAATAAATTGATGATGAACAAATAACCAGCCCCTGTAGCGTAAGCTCCAACACTTTTATCATAGATATTAATATTAATATTAACAATTTCATGTCATCGTCGGAATTTGAGAATTTTGCAATTCCATTAAATACCGTCGTCTTTGAATTATCATCTTTGTTACTCTGCAACATTCTATCATCATCTTTATTAGTTAAAGCTAATTCTTTATCGATTACTTTGATCGTTTAGAAGAACTTGATATTTAATGATTATTCCTGACAGCATTATTTTATTAACATATTCAGCCGTGACAAACGTCATATCACGTACAATTAGTAGGTTAATAAATTGCTGCTCGACAGCAGCGGTAGTATTATTTTATTGTTAGTTCTGGAAGTAAACAGAAAATTTTTGAGGATCGGAAACTGAGAAATTGGTTGGTCGACATTGAATTCTTCTTCAATTTCTGACGACGACAACAATCCATTTGAAGACATCGTTATACTTGGAATAAACGAACTTTAGAAAAATCTAACGTGATATGTTTCTGGATCCGGTCTCAAAACTTTATTTTTCTCGACTATACTCTAAATGATCGCTTCCAAAAATTTTTACAGGACCAATTCCATTATAAATTTGTATAAAATTTATTAGTTTGAACCGGCGATTTGTTTCCATCATTATTGTCATCATTTGATGGCGGCGACGTGAACAAGTATCATTGCAGAATCGTTTTTGCACAATAAAATCGTGCACTAATTAATCTACTCTTAATATAACTCAATAATAATGATAAATCAATTGACCAACAATTGAAACCATTTAGCGGTAATCAAAATTCTCTTTAATGGCATCCATAATCTGTTGACCGTTGTTAGTTTAACTGTTGCTTTGGTTGCTTCCAGTATACCTTAAGAAATGGTTCTGTGATCGAGTCAGTTTATAATCCTACTCGTAAATACTTGTCTCTCAGTATATCAAGTTGAACTTGCTGTCATCATACTCTATTTTTGTCAACCGTCACTTGCGACGTCCTACATACTGACAAGGAACCGCAGAGTGAGACGTGATTACAAATTGCGACCCATATTTACATAATTGTACTTTTCTTCTCCCAGTTTTTTATTACAGGCGTTCGTTAAATCGTTAAATCAAGGGGAATAAATTACTATTACTTGCGAGAAAATTGAAAATTTTATTAATTAATCAGATAGCAACGAAGATTGTGTAGTTTCTGATCAACTTTTCCAATGCGAATTTTAAATATTCACCATGAGATCATGATTCCAAAAAAAAAACATGGAATTAATCTTCATTTTCTAACAATTGACAAAACCTGATATAAACGGTTTCTGGCAACCTTGGAAGAACTTGTATGAATAAAATTTCAACTGTGAAGGAAAAGGTGGCGGTGTTTTTATTTTTGGTATGCTTTTTAAAAAGAAAATTTAAAAAAAATAGATATCTATGGAGCAGTAAGTGAAAACGTAGGTGATGTCGAGATACAGCATACAAGGAAATTCCAAACCATTTGTCAAATGTCACACAAAACTATTACATATATAAGCCATTCCAACCATGTGTGACTCAATTATCTGACAAAACTCTACTATTACTCTTGAACAGCCTTTATTTATTCTTTGGACAAATACATCAATTAAAACAAAAATACAAGCAGATACAGTCTTAATTGAAAATCAATTTATTCCAAATCATTTTGTACCATGTTTTCTAAAAGATAGAAAGGTAGTTATATTTAACAATTATTATTTTTAAACTATTGAAATAACTGAAATAAACAAACAATAATTATATTTTTCATTTCACAGATTGAATCAAGTGAAAAATACTTTCTTGATACAAGTGATGACAGTGATCCAACAATTAAAAACGACAGTGGTTATGATTTTCATTGGTTAAAAGAAGCATTAATGGAAGAACCTTTCAATTTAGGACCAGATCCAACATGCCCAGCTATAGTTTTTGCATTAGAAAATTGGTATAGAAACCAAAGTATTGAAAAAAAGCTAACCAAAGAAAATCATGATTTTCTAGTAAAAGCAGAAAATGACATAAGAACCTGGCCAGAAGTCAAAGGATTAGAATGGATAATTAATGGATGGAAAAAATATTATGAAAAAAACGAAGATGAAAAGGACATAATTGCAATAAAAATGACCCTACAACTATAGAAAATAATAAACATTTGGTTGGACTTTTAATAGGCATAGATGAGAAAAAAGTAATGTCTAATGTAAAAACTTTTGGTAACATAATTGAATATGAATAATGTAAAGACTTTTCATTTCAATTGCAATGTAAAGATGTCTTTGACAATTTAATAATGATGGAAGGTGAAAAATTAATTTGGAGGCCATCAAATATTACAAATGTTTGGCTAAGTTGGTACTTACAAGAACAGAAACAATTTCCACCTCAAATTGCAATTGCAATAAAAAAAACCAGCAATGATTCTAAAAAATTTCTAAGTAAATACATTTATTGTAGTGGTTGTAAATTTAAAAAAGAGAGAACATCATTTAATTTGTACATTTCAAAAAGCAATTTAATAAATCAGCAAAATGATATCACCATTATTGTCAAGTACTCAAGTAATCATAGAATATGCCATCATATTTCTGGAACAACATATGGACAATGTCGTGGTATTATTAGAGAAGAGTTGGCTAATGTTGAAGGTCAACCACAAGACATTAGGAAAAAAGTATTAAAGGATCTTGATGTTGAAATAAGATTCACTGGTAATAGAGAAAATATTCCTTCAAGTTAAAATGTCATACACTAAGTTATTAACACGAGACAGAAAAGAATTAGTATTTAAAATTTATAATGAAATGGATAGTATCACTTGATCTGCTTTTACAACTGTTCCTGACAATGAAAATAGAAAAGGTTATTTTTTACAATTAGTCAAAGAAAACAAAGAACTATTAGAAAATGAAAATGAAAATTGTAGAGAAAGGTTTATTCATAATTTTGAATTAGGCAATGCAATTCTTAAACAGGGTGAACCGAGAGAATGCAATAATTGTAAAGCAGCAAGATTCTCTGATAAATTTTGTGAAAATTGTATTAGTCTACACTTACAGAGTCTTTTCAGCACTTGGACATCTGGAAATGAGATAATTGATAGTTTTATTCAAAAATGTCAACAGCTTTCATCTCTTCCAGGTAGAATTATAAAATGGATACCTTATGAGCAATTTCGTAATATAAAAAAAGTAACAGAAGGTGGATTCAATTCTATTTATACTGCTGGATGGAGAAGAGGAGCTACTGATGACTATGATGAAAATAAAAAGATGTTTAATTATTTTGGAGCTCAGCAAGTAATATTAAAATCATTAAATGATTCAAGTAATCCAGGAAAACCTTTTTTTGATGAGGTAATTGCTTTTATTTAAAAATAAACTAAATCATTTATTCTAAATTAATTAATTTTATTTATATATATAATAATTATTAATTTCAGGCATTGAATTATTGCAAAATTAAAGCAACATGCACAATTGTCAAATGTCATGGTATAAACTAAATTCCCAGAAAATGGAAATTATGCAACAGTTCTTAATTATCTAAAAGAGTGAAATTTAAGAGATTATATACAAAATAATCATTATAATTTAACATCAAAAGATTGTGATTTACATGGTGGTAATATATTATATTGCAGATTTAGGATTATGTGGACCAGTTGATAAAAAATCATCAAATAAAATTTATGGAATTGTATCTTATATTTTACCAGGACTATTTAGAGGAAAAAACACACAAAAAAAACAGATGTTTATAGTGTTGAGATGTTAATGTGGGAAATATTTGCAGGACATCCACCATTTGATGATGAAACACATGATTTTCATTTGCTATTAAAAATATGTGAAGGTTTACGACCACCAATATTACCAGGAATACCTGATGATTATGCACAATTGATGCAAAGGTGTTGGGATGTGGATCCAACCAAGAGACCAATTATTAGAAAGCTTTGGGAATTTTCTCTTAATAAACTTAAACTGAGAGTCTTAATGAAAGTAGTAGTAATTAATATTGGTGTTGGTGGTGATAATAATAGTAATATTAGTAATAATAGTAATTTACAACCAATTCACAAATCACATCCATTAACATATCATACAAGTAGAATATTAAATGATGTAAATGATGAATTTGCTAAATTGAATTTAAAAAGCAATGATAGTTTATTAAGTAACCTTGATATTAATGAAATATAATTTTAATAAGGCAAATTAAATAGTTAGTTAATTGATTGAAATTTATTAATTTAAATATGATTATTTATTTATATATGTATATAATAATAATAAGTAGTCGATAATGTTAAAATAAATATTTTAATATTTTATTATTATTCTGAAAATAAATTTGATTGATTTCTTTCCAATCCGGAACCACACGTTTTTATAATTGAATGATTGATATCAGAAGTCAAAAAAGTCAAATGAATACGAAATGACATAATTCTGACCCTGTCAAAACAAGGGCGGTGATTTAATATCATCGGTTGATATTGTGTTAACGTTATGATTGTACAGGTACACCAATAGATTACCTGATGGCAAACTGGTTAGTGGTTGTTATTCTTAATAGGCTTGTTTTTTATTATTTTTAATAGTCCATTGTCATTCTAACAATTGATAATATAAATAATAATAGCGCTGCACTGGTTGGAAGTTTATGGGACGCGATAGATCAAACAAGATATTAAAAAATGTATGAACCAGAAAGCAATTGTGATAGCTAGGAGCAATCATAAATTAAAATATTAAATGGTACAGCATCCATAACGTATGGAATTTAACAACTGCAAGTTAATTATACAAGTTTCCCAATTAAATTTCCATAATAAGATGGAGTGAATAATCTTAAAGCATACATTATAATTTCCTCAAACAAAAATTGGTGGGAACAGTATTTAAAAAATATATGTAATTATATTAATACAAAGAATTTATTATTTTATACATTTGTGAAATTATGATTAAAAAAGTATTTATAATAGAAAATATACATAAAAAAAAAGTCAATTAATTTATTTTCAAGATCTCTGGCAATTCGCCATTCTTGATATATTTTAATATTTCCTCGGCACTAAATCCATGAGTCCATCTTTTACAATCACTACTCTTGATTTTCTTTTCAACTTCTTTAACCAATTTATAAATTCCATGATTATATGGGACTTTGTCAATGCCACCTTCTATTATTTTCATTTTGCTCATTTTAATAATTTCACCTTGTAATTCATTAATTTCAGTCATTTTGCCCAGCGTGAAATCTTGTGACATATTGAATTCTTCTGTCCTTATTATGAAATTATTGTTGTTTTTAATTGGTTGGACTAGCCAGTCAGGAGCTACCAATAAATAAGGAACAGATTTCGGAGGTAATGAATAATTAAATGTGATTGGTGAAATCCCATAATGGTTGAATAGTTCGATTGATTCCCATTGACAATATGCTTGAATCTTTCGAAATGATTTTGAATTCATATACTCTTCATGTGTCAAACCACTCAATGCTATGATAGAATTTGATAAACTTAACAAAAGTTTACCATATTGTACATTTTTTATCTGCGTTGTAGTCTTGACAGTTAGTTCGGATTGCTTGAAAATTTCCATGATTTGTTTTGTTTCTGGCTTTTCTTCAAGAATTATCAACCCGTCATTATAGGAGCCTTTTCTAGTGAAATGGCAATCTTGATTGTATTGAATATTGTAGTAGTTGACACCACTAATTATTTTAATGTTTGGGAGTAATTGTTGAATTGTGTCGGCATTATGAATTCCATTTTGAATTGTTACAATCTTTATTAAATAAATATAAATATATATATATATATTAATATTATGAAGGAATATTTCTATATTATGCAAGTACATTATATTATTACAAACATACCACAGTTTTGCTGCCATTTAATTCCTTTAATTCTTGAAAAACTTCTTTCAACTTATTACTTTTCAAAGTTACCAAGATATAATCTGGTTGAAAATCAATTAAATCTTTAAGATTGGTTGTATAATCAATTTGATTTCTTGGCACAATAATTTCATCGTCTTCATTTTCACCAAATTGATTGTTTAATGTTAATAAAAGTTTTTTTGAATTATTTAAATCGTCGAATAATCTTTGTCCTCCAACTAATAGTATTTTATTATTATTTAATGGATTTCCTATTGTATGATGATTATTATGAATTAAATGTGCTGCTAGAAAAAATCCAACGTTTCCACATCCTAAAATTGCAATTGAAGACATTTTTGTTTTTTATTAAAATTTATTTCGTTTAAAAAATTTTTTTTTAAAATTAATATCATACTACTTACTCTCTCTCTCTATATATATATATATCTTGAGAATATTAAGATTTGATTATCAATGTATGAATAAGAAGACAATTTTTCGATCTATGTCATTTTTGGATTTATTACGGACATCTTTACTCGTATAACATAACACTGCATACATACTTCATTATTGTTTTTTCCCCAGACTTTTTAAAATTTAAAAAATAAACAATACATTTTTTTTTTGAAATTCTCTACAAGTTACGCATAATAATTATTTTGGTTAGATAACTATAAAACCAGTTTCGTCATGCATGCATGTTTACGTTGTGTAACAACCCTATTATCCTTTAAACGGTTTTCGGCCATTGACAGCCGGAATTTTTTTTCTGTTATAAAAAACTTTTTCTGAAAGTATCACTTCTTAATACAAAAATGATCTTTGAGGTTCGGCTGATTGATCTGTGAATAAAATTTCGGTTGTTGTCCTTGTGGTTTTCGTAAAATCTTAGTAGATTGACTATTTTTACTTTGCAGATTGTTAAATTAGCATAAGAATGCAAGGTCGTGATCAATAAATTATTTTGTGTTACCATTAAAGAGTACTTTGACCGTTTAAGAGATAATTTTATAATTTGCTGTTGTAAGGTTCATTGGAATACTTGATATTTACTAGTTCATTCAAAAAAAAACCTAATACACCAATCGGGTTTATTCAAACGAGACATAATGGAAATGTCACAAATAATAAGGTTAATATATAAACATATTGTGAATAAGAGGTATAAAGTTAATTTGGAATATTAATTCGTGATCCATCAATGAAGGAAAGGATCAACATAGTAAAATTCGGGGATAAGTATCATAGTAAAATCTATTAGTGTCCATAATCTGGAGCCGCTGTGGAAATAACACAATATTTTATATC